GGCTCAAATTTTTGATTTAGGTAGGTCTGTTAATAAAAATCTGTTGATTTTAGCAATCTTTGTTGCATTATGTGCTAATGGTGACCATTCAAAAATGGGGAAAGAGCACTTTTCAAGTTTTTTCTCCAAAGTGTGCATGCCTGTAACTCAGGAAGTATTAAAGATATCTTTATGTCCTTTTAGATGTTGGGTCTTAACAAACTTTCCTTTTTGGCATCTTCATTTTTAAGGCCCTATATGGTTCAGTTCCAGATATATTGGAATTTCCATATGGCTCCAGGAGTAAATCGTTAAATTGTACACATTTTCAGTCGTCAAAAACCAAATGTGGGTCACTTTGCATTAATATGATACTTCTTTTCTTTTAAAGAGGAATGTGAGGAATAAATAATGTTGAAACTAGAAATGTATCTTGTTTCCTTCTGTCAAAACAACTGCACTTATTCTTAATACTTGAGGGAAGTGTAGGGAAGTCGTGGCCTAATGGTTAGAGAGTCGGACTCGTAACCCAAAGGTTGCGAGTTCGAGTCTCAGGTCCGGCAGGGATTGTAGGTGGGGGGAGTGAATGTACAGCGCTCTCTCCCACCTTCAATACCACGACTGAGGTGCCCTTGAGCAAGGCAACTGCTCCGCAGTTGGGGGTTCGGTAGCAGTTGGGGGTTTACGCTGCAGCATAAATGGCTGCCCACTGCTCTGGGCGTGTGTTCACGGTGTGTGTGTGTGTTCACTGCTGTGTGTGTGTATTAAGGATGGGTTAAATGCAGAGCACTAATTCCTAGTATGGGTCACCATACTTGGCCACATGTCACTTCACTTTCACTTTTCACTTTTGAGTTACAGGCATGCAAAAAGCTTGAAAAGTGCTTTTTCCCCATTTTTGAATGGTCACCATTGGCACATAATGTAACAAAGATTGCTCAAGTAAACAGATTTTACCAACAGACCTACCAATCTCTCTGTAAAAATAGCGTTATGATGCTGCCATCTTTCAGAAGTCATTTTTACACCCCTGTAATTTGGCTCTGAATCTCAGGTGAAAATTGCCATTATGACCCCCCTCTACAAAATAGTGGATTACTCAGTAAATATTCATCCATGGTATTTAATATTTTTGGCACATAATGTAACAAAGATTGCTCAAGTAAACAGATTTTACCAACAGACCTACCAATCTCTCTGTAAAAATAGCGTTATGATGCTGCCATCTTTCAGAAGTCATTTTTACACCCCTGTAATTTGGCTCTGAATCTCAGGTGAAAATTGCCATTATGACCCCCCTCTACAAAATAGTGGATTACTCAGTAAATATTCATCCATGGTATTTAATATTTTAGCTTTCATCACTATACATGTTTATATTTTTTCAGAAAAAATATGAGCAAAATCAAAAATTTAGCCGGGGAACTCTGGTTGAGTTGACACGGAATGACCCCATTGTAAATTGATGAAATAACTTAAATTATACCAAGACTCATGATCTGACCTCATCAGGATGCAGCTGCAGGTGGATTCTTACTGCCTTCACAATGATATACACGAACCGTCCCAGCAGGAAAAACAGACACAGGAAGAACGGCCATAGGATGATCAATTTCTCGTGATGGCCTAAAATCTACAACCAGCAAAATATGTTTAAATTGTGTATTTATCCAGCTACAAATTATTATATATTATTATACAAATTATATCCATTCAAAGACACCTTTGCATGCTATGAACACTGAGAAAATTATGCCTAATCTTATCTGGTATCAGTAATAATATAATGTTATTAATGAATAAATTAAAGTTAATTATAAATCATATTCACCCACCTTTCCAGAGGGACAGCTTATCGTGTCATACAGTCTCACAATGAGCCTGAAACCCACAGAATGTAAAAAATAAACAGTCGGTTCAACAACTCACAAATCCCTTTACAGATAATATGTTTGCCTTGCCAAGATTTTAGACTGAAGGTTTGAGTAAGAGTTTTTTTCATGTACCACATGAGTGTATATAGAAGACCTAAAACCCCTCCTAGTAGTCGGTTTGGCGTTGAAAGACAAGCAAAGAATGGCAGGTAGGCCACGCCAACTTCTATTGCGCCTACCACGTACACAATAGCTGAAAGAGACAGGTCATACAGATAAAGGTGAAGAAACATTTCTCATTATTATCAATGTTCAAACCAATATATGAAATGTATGCACAGTTATATTAAAACTACCTTTAGGCCAGTTAGGCACAGTAAATGGCGTGTAGGACTCAGAGAAAAGCTGAATCACACTGGGAGCAATAGCACCAAATGCAAAACCATAAGACCATCGGTTACTTAGACTGCATATGAAATCTAATGGCCTGCAATGAAACACACACGCACACACACACTTAAAAAAAACACTAAGACATCTGAAAACACAGATATAAATATTAAACCTAGATCTAAAGATTTTGTTCTGATATCACTTACACCACAATACCAAATCGACCCCTGAGATATGGAAAGCGATGCTCAAAAGGTTGAGCCCTCGCTCTGCGCTGCACAAATGAGAGCAGAAATACAATGCAGACCTAAAACAGAAAAAGAAGTATGCTGCATTACAAATACACCTTGAGAGAAGTCTAATGATGTAACAATTCTAATAAAGCATAAAACACAGACAGTATATGGACACCAGTTGACGTCAACTAGTAAAAATAGAATCTAATACTCATGTAATCACTTCAGCTCTTATAACAGTGAAGCATTACTTCCTCTTCTAGAGAAAGTGTTGCATGTTTGTCCTGAGGAAAGACAGTTCTCTCTGGACTAATGCAAGCATTACTCACAGCAGGAACAAGAGAGCAATGCAGGAACAAATCCACTGAAATTCCATTCTGACATTCCTCCCTAAGAGAAAGAGGGGAGAGAGAGAAATATGAGAAAGAATGAGCGAGGGGTTAGAGCACAGCATGAATCAATGAAATAGAAGCTGAATGAAAACAGCTTCTGTAACATTACGATTAAAATATAAACTACTCCACTTACTTTATACAATCAAAGCATTATTTTCAGGGTAATTATCATCACTGTTTTATTGTTATTATATAAGACGTTGTGTCCTAAAAGCATAATCTTAATATCAACAGATAAGATTTATCACACACCAGTGACCTAAAAACACTTCCCCTTATCAACAGAAAAATTGCCCTCATTTTTTTTTTAAATATTAATGATCAAGTCAATTTTAAATAAATTTTTAACTATTTACTTATTGTCTCGGGGAAAAAAAATGAATATGTCTCACAGAATGTAACATGTTTTTAATTCAAAAAATTAATTAAAATTAGGTTGTTATTCGTTTAAAATTTGTGTTACTGTAAGCTGTTTAGATGACAAAATTCTTGGTTTAGGTAATGAACCTTTTCATATAAATATAATATAATATAATATAATATAATATAATGTCAACAATTTTACCCACAAAATACAGAATATCCTTCTTAAATATACTGTCGAATATTCTCTGAAAAGTTTTTCACAAGCAGAAGTAACTCACATGATTTCTGAAGTTTCCGTTGACTCCCGTTCTGCAGGTGGAGTACAGGAGTTATCCTCTACTACTATATTGTTCGTAGACAAAGACTAGTTAGACCGTAAAGTTGTTCGCCTTCATAACAAATACTAATTCCAGTGTACTATCATATAAAGTAAAGCTTTCACTTCTTGAATGAGGAGATATCTAGTCACATGACTGGACAACCTTTGACCCAGGCCACACGGTAGTGTAACTCGAGAGATGTGCCAGTGTGTTTTATTGACTGTACTGTTACTGTGTAATGAGTCCAAACATAGATAAGACTTGCTGTTGAACTAGAGCAGATGGTTTAGAGCTCACAGTTTCTCTGTTTGTGTGCTACAGCACTGCTGAAATGTAGGCCTACTGACTCTAAATTCACACACAGTGCTCACCTTTGTGTCATCCCGATTTCAGATTAATTTTCTAAGCAGCAAATGGTAAATAAATAAATAGTATACAATGCATCAGTGTTAACTTACGATGGTAAGCAAACTAGGTGCTGATCACTCAAACTAACACTTGGGGGCGCTGTTGATGAGCTAAGAAGAGCCGATCAGTAATCAATCACTGACTTTAAAATGACTGTTGCATAATGAAAATGATTTCTAATAAACTATTTAAATACCTGTCCTATACTGTATGATATCGAATGTATGTAATATCTGTAGGCTACCTTCAAAAATGTCTTACATTTTTTTCAATAAGCTGAAGAAATTTTAACAGAAGAAAACTTCTGTAAGAATTTTTACAGTAGCCTAGTTATGGATGATATCATTTAAGGTACAAAATATGTCACGTCTGTTTGATTCACATATAGGCTACATTTACAATGACTCAAGCCAAAAAGACACTTTAGAGTAGGCCAATGAGTGAGCATTGCATAACAAAACATCAAACGTGACTTATTAAAACAAGTTTGCTAGATGAAAATGCATTTGGGCACTCTCAGGTTGTCAAACGTTAGTGTTATTCCCATATATAGACTATTCACTCCACCTGTGGTTACTATGCTATCTATCACACCTGCTTAAACTTGAGGGTACTTGACTTCTAAAGATCTAGCATCTTCTGTTTGCAAATGCCACTTGGTTTGATATTTTTTCTAATGCAACAAAATTCATTACTGTCCACTGTATTTCCAAATACACATACACGCTTTGTAAAGACTTAGGCTAATGTTGTTGTTGTTTTTTTAATTATGGGCCTATGCAGATATGATTTTTGTTGTTGTCATTGTTATAAATCAACCGCTTAGAATAACTACATTTGAAATTAATTTTATGAAATTATTGAATTTTTAATTTTATAAAATGTTATACATTTTGAATTAATTTAATTTATTTAAATATCAGCCTAATAATATATAATAGGTCGTAGGCTACCTGTAGCCTTTTCTAGTACTGTTACAAGTGCACTAGAAACGCCCACCGTTGTCACTTCTGAGCTCTTCAACACAGCTCTTCACCAATGTGTAGAAAACTGCGATTTACAGTGGTCAGACGCGATCAGTATCATAAAAAGTTTCACGAAAAGGATTATCCTGATCATCTGATGAACGACAAGGCAGAGGTGTTTTTGTTCTTACAGAGTTTTATTGTTTGTAAATGAAGTGGTCTCCGTAGTTTTCTGAGAATGAAGGAGTCGGTTCTGCTGAATGTGGGTTTCTTCACCAAATCATGCGTCGTGCTCGTGTGCCTCTGCGGGGTTCACCTCATCGTTGCATTGTTTTTTTATTTAACAGAGTCGCCTATGACATTTACGAATTACCGACTAATTCAATCAGACTCTGATCAATTTAATTCACAAACTCATAGCACTGCCGCACTTGGCATCCAGTATGACAATGGGACAGAGGTAGATGTAAATAAACTGATCTATACTAATGGAAGTGTCATTAAATATGACGTGGTAGAGGAGGCCGCAGTACTAGAATCATGTCCTGAGACGTCACCACTTTTGGGTAAGTTGAAATTAAAACTTAAGTATTTGTGCATCTGTTGCTCTGTTTTTTTTTTCTTCTTTGTGTGTGTGTCCTGGTATTCCCTACTTTATGGGGACCAAATGTCACCACAAGGATAGTAATACCAGTAAATTTTGATCTTGTGGGGACATTTTTGGTCCCCATGAGGAAAGCTTATAAATCAAGCTGAATTAAGTTTTTTTTAAGGGTAGGGTTAGTGTTAGGGGATAGAAAATACAGTTTGTAACAGTATAAAAATCATTACACGTATAGAATGTCCCCATAAAACATGGAAACCCAGACTTTGCTATGACAATCTGGCGCTTCTGAATCAGCTACTGTTTTGTTATTAGTTTAAGTATTTGCTATTGACTGTTCAAATGCGGAGGTTTGCGCATTGTGTGTGTGTGTGTGTGTGTGTGTGTGTGTGTGTGTTAACTTTACATCAAGAGACTAGGGCTAGTTGTCACACTTTTTACTCCAATAAATAGGGATGTAACGATTCACTCAACTCACGATTTGATTTTCTCACAATTTTTTCTAAACAAAATTAGATTTAAGACAAATTATAAATAAAAATGTGTCGTTTTCTTATTGCTTGGACAAAATGCTGCACATTTCTTTGTGAAACAGAAATATGTCAAATAACAAAACTAAATTGAAATTTTAAAGGGGTCATATGATGCGATTTCAAGTTTTCCTTTCTCTTTGGAGTGTTACAAGCTGATTGTGCATAGATAAAGATCCCTGAAGTTGCAAAGACGTTTGAGAGAGGCGGGGCATATAGGACCTACAATAATGTACAGTATTTGAAAAATAATGTGTTTTTTGAACATTAAAGCATGTCAACATATTCTGTTACACCAAATACACAAAATAATGATCTTTAAAAAAGCATCATATGACCCCTTTAAAACAAACCCTAAATCTAATCAAATATAATTTGAATCATAATCCAAAAGATGCTGAATACATGCAGTATGAGCAGTTTAAAAAAATATATATCTAAATTAGATTGCTTAATTTGACATTTTAAAACAAAAACAGAATGCTCTGACTTTAGTTTTGTGAAACTATACTACATAAAACATCTGCACGAAACAAAGAGCAGAAGCTCTGAATGAGACACAGATTCACTCTCTGACAGCAGGTGGCGCTTATGGAACAGCAGCCATACAACGTTGCCTTGGTTACCACTGTAAACAAAGCAGCGCAACGCTTATGAACGCTGCTTTAATATGAATTGTACAGAGATGAGATGAAAAGAAAATAGCCTATCATCTAAACTTTTCTAAAGACAGTCAGTTCCCCTCAGAGATACATTCATATAAACTCCTACCCCAAATGTATCGCGATTCGTTTAACATCTCAACCGATTTGAATCGTCACATATTTG